ACAAAAGCATCGTAAGCAAAATTAAGGTCATAAACTGATGAAAAAAATAGTAAAGATGAAAGCCGAATTAATAAAACAAAACAGTAAAACAAAGAAAATCAAAGTTCTTTGCCCATTTTAAAAATTGTGGTTTTTTTGCTATTAAATGGTTTGAGTTTTTAAATGTTATCAAATGTATAGTTTGCAAGTTAAAGAAGTTCTATTTATCGTTGCCTAACCCCAGATTGCTAAGTTTTTTCCCATGCTTTCTTCTAGAAGTTTTATGATTTTACTTTTACATTAATCTTCTAATCCACTAAGAGTTAGTTTTCCTATGTAGTGTATATAAAAAAAAAAAATCCTTCCTTCCTTCCTTCCTTGATTGTTTGCTTCCTTCCTTCCTCCTTTCCTTTCTTTCCTTTTCTCCCCTTTCCCCCTTCCTTTCTCTTTCCTTCCTTCCTTCCCTTTTTCTTTCTTTATATGGGTGTCTAATTTTTCAAGCACCATGGTAGAAACGATTATCTTTTCTCCTTTGAATTACCTTGGCATCTTTATCAAAAATCAATGGACTGAATTGGTGAATTTCATCTAGTTTTGGACTCTTGTCTATTCCATTAATCCGTATGTTTACCTCTGAAGAAGTATTTCACTGTATTGACTACTGCAGTATATTGACTGTATTGACTAAGTTTTAAAATCAGTGAGTGTGTCAAGTTTGTTCTACATTTCAAAACTATTTTGTCCACCCTCAGCTTTTTGTTTTTCATATAAATGTTAAGATCACATTGTCAAATTTTTGAAAAACTCCTGATAAGATTTTGACCAGGATTGCAATGAATTTACAGATCAAATTGGAGAGATTACCATCTTAATAAAATATTGAATCTCCCAATCCTTGAACATGACATAGGTATCTGTTAGTTCTTCTTTAATGTCCCTCATTTTGAAAACGGTTTCCACTGTATAATCTTGCACGTATTTAGCTTTCCCTTAGGTATTATTTCATGATTTTATGCTCTTTTACATGACACTTTGATCTAATTTTATTTTCTACTTGTTCATTGCTAAAAATAAAATATATTATTTATTACTGACATGTATCCTTTGCCATTGTTAAACTCCCTTATTAGGTTTTTTTAATTAAATTTTTTATTTTTTTGAAACGGAGTTTTGCTCTTGTTGCCCAGGCTGGAGTGCCTGCTGGGTTCAAGTGATTCTCCTGCCTCAGCCTCCCAAGTAGCTGGGATTACAGGCGCCCACCACCACACCCAGCTAATTTTTTGTATTTTTTTAGTAGAGACAAGGTTTTGTCATGTTAACCAGGCTGGTCTCGAACTCCTGACCTCAGGTGATCTGCTTGCTTCAGCCTCCCAAAATGCTGGAATTACAGGCGTGAGCCACCGCGCCCAGCTCCTTACTAGTTTTGATAGGGCTTTTTTGTGGCTTCTTTGAGATTTTCTATGTAGATGATTATGTCATCTGTGAGTAAAGATAGGTTGACTTTTTTTCTTTTCTGATCTTTATTCTTTCCTTTCTTTTGCTTTCCTTTTTTCAGTGACTAGAACCTAGAATATTGAAATGGCATGCTGAGAGTGAGCGTCCTTGATTGTTCCCAATCTAGGAGAGAATCATCTAATCTTTCACCATGAAGAATGATGCTAATTAATAGAATTCTGTTGATGTCTTTTTTGTATTTAGGAAATTCCCTTCTATTGCTAGATTACTTAATTTTTATCATTAATAGACATTGAATTTTGTCAAATGTTTTTATCACCTATGGAGATGAGCATTTTAAAAAATCTGCATGCTCTTAATATAGTGAATTACATTGGCTTATTTTTTAAAAGATTTTACTTTGAAGTAATTTTAGCATTACAGAAAATTTTCAAAAATAGCACAGAAAATGTCCATTAATATTCTTATCTTATATAACTATAATGCAAATCAAAGAACAGGAAACTAACATTGTTGCAACTGATACGATTTTGTTATTAGCTAAATTACAATGCTTAATCTAATTTCATCAGTTTCCCATCCACTTCTTTGGTCTTTGTCTTTTTTTAAAATTTAAGATGCTATCCAGGATCCCACATCGTATTTACATGTTATTTCTCTTCAGTCTCCTTCCTTCTGTAGCAATTCTAGTCTTTCCTGGACTTTCATACCTTAACACTTTTGAAGAGTACTTTGCATTCCTGTGACAAAAGTAACTTGGAAATGAATAAGGACGGCATTACCACAAAGGGTCACAAAATGACTTCTGGAATATTACATATTTTGTTTGGGGTTGTCATAAACTTTCATCAAAAACTCGTAGAACCATACACTTAAAATGGTGAATCTCACTGTGTGTACAATATGCACCATTAAACTTGATTTAAGAAAGGAAAGAGAAAAAGGACAAATAATGTTATAAAAAGGATATAAGTACTAATTCAGTAGACATTCAAAAGATAATCACCAAAGTTATGAAGAGATTTATGTCAGTAAATTTAAAAACTTAAAAATAGATAAATTCCTAGTAAAACGTAATTCATTAAAAGCTGATGGAATATAAAATAGCCTGAAAAATTCTCAGAAACATTAGAGAAATGAAATACTTATTAAAAGTATTCCCACAAAGCCAGTTATATGGGTAAGTTCTATCGAATTTTTACAAGGAATTGTTTCTGTCTTACATTCTTTGGAGTGGAAGTATGTGATTGTGGAGTGGAAATGTGGTGTTCTGAGGTAGTAAGTCAGGCAATATAGGCAAGCCTATGTTTTACTTGGCAACAGATATGCCCTGACATGGAACTTTTATTCTTAAGGAAGGGATGTCTCTTTCTAGTTGGAATGAAGCCTATGATATCATATGAGCCCCGTTTTCAGTCTTCTACTGACAATGGAAAGTTAGGCCAGATGATGTCTACACTTATTTCATATCTACATTATATAAGTTTATGACAATTTATCTTAAAGCAAAATTGTCATCACTCCACAGACTGCCTCCTTTTTTTGATTTCCATATGCATGAACTATAGGATCATGTCCACTCATTTTAAAAATGAAGAAATGTCAAAAAAGTGTAAGAGATTGTTGAAAGCCACACTGTCTCCTTCCCCTTGTGTGTCTGCTTATGGCTTTTAAATTTATCACAGATTTGACTTCCACTTAATCTCTAGCAAGAGTACTTGGATAGCCCTTAGCACTTAGTGAATGGGCATAGAGAGTTATGCACTTACATAGTACTTAAATAATAGTTGACATTTAGTATTTGTGATGGCCCTTAGAAAATTGTTTCTCTGTAAATTGGAGTGTGATAAAAATTTATTTTAAAGACTATTTCTGGTTGTATAATAAGTATCAGTAATTTTAAAGCACATAAAATACCAAGCAGGTTAAATGTTTTGTAGCCTTTCATGTTATCTTCTGATAATGGTTTCCTTATATTTGGAATGGGAATAATAATGCCAGCTCTCCCTATCTTACTACATAAAGGATAAAGAAACAAGGCTATAATGTTTATTGAGTATAAATATACCTTCTGGATTATGTGTCCCCCTCCCCATACTTGTGTTGAAGTCCTAATCCCTAGTACCTCAGAATGTGACTGTATTTGCAAATAAGGTCTTTAAAGAGGTAATTAAGCTAAAATGAGATTATTGGAATAGACACTGATCCAGCACGAGAGGTGTCCTTATAAGAGGGGGAGGTTACGACACAGACACACACAGAGGGATGACACCTACAAGGCAAGGAGCAAGCCCTCACAAGAAATCAACCTTGCCAACGCCTGTATGGCAGACTTCTAACCTTTAGAGCAGTGAGAAAATACCTTTCTGTTATTTGAGCCACCTATGCTATGGTACTTTGCTATGGCACTTCTTACAGTAAATTAATAAAACAGAAGAAATGAGATGACAGACAAAAATGCACTTTAGCAATTAAAGCTATTCAAATGTAAAGTTATATTGTACAAATTAACAATAATAAAAGTAATGTTGATACCCATGTCTCTATGTGCTGATTTTGCTCTTAATTTTTTTTTTAATTTTTACAGTTACAGGTTTTTATTTTTAGGAATAGAACTCAAAATAAAAAGAATATATTTTTCAAAAAAAAAAAAATAACGGTGAACTCTTTACAGTAACCTCATCTGCTGTATTTGTCTTCTTTGGAAAACAAGAGTCACTAACTGTAGAGCACCATAGCTGCATGGAGGTGTTTCTCACTTCATCCTGTTCCACTTTGCAAAGAAAGTAAAAGATCTCTGAAGGGTAGGTGGTTTAGGAAGCCCTGGAAGTAAAAGATTCTCCTATAAGATCTCTATTTGCCTACTGTTCGTAATAATAACATTTTTAGAAGCAGCGTGGGACAATGGTTCTGAATGTAGACTCTAGATCCAGACAGCCTGAGTTTCAACTAAGAAAAGTGGTCAGGCACCGTGGCTCACGCAGCTACTGGGGCTCAGCTTTTCCTTGGCCAATATTGTCATTGTGTACAAACAACCTTTGGTTCTATTGTGATCAGAGTGAAACAAGATCTTTAATTGATGTTTCTCTATGAATCACAAATATAATGCATGTGGCTACTTACATCACATATTATTGTGAGCAAACTTTCAATTGTGAAAATGCATTTGACCAAAAATATAACCTTTCTGAAATATGGAAAAATAACCAGTTATTCAGTGTAAGATCTAGGAATAGGTCCATGATTACAAACAATGTAACAAACCCAACAGTACAATAATATGGTACAGTGTCTTCCAATTACTATCAAGACAAAGAAATGAAGACTAAATAAGTGTGGCAGGTCTAAGGGGGCAGTGCCATACTCCACTTTTCATGCTGCTATGACATAAAAATACCCCACATCTCACTCCCCAACTCAACAATTCAGCCTCCCACATAACATCCACAGTACATGCTACGTCATCCCCTTCCTGGTTGCCAGGGCAACGTAGTTTATGCCTGTCAGATCTAAGTTGGGTAGAGAACACTGAGGCAAAGCTGTTTTCTCTAAGTCATCTTGACGAGTCAAGTTGCCAGCTTTGATGTTAACCCAGAGAATTTCCATAATAGTTTCTTCCAGGCCCCCTTCACCTCTTTATTTCTTAGACTGTAAATCATAGGGTTCAGCATTGGTGTCAAAATGGCATAAAAGAGAGAGATCAACTTCTCCTGAAGGACAGAGGGACTGGAGTGGGGATGGATGTAAGTGAAAATGGCCATGCCATAGCACAGGGCAACCACTGTGAGGTGAGAGGCACACGTGTGAAAGGCTTTCCTCCTTCCTTCTCTGGACTGGATCTTTAAGATGGTGGAGATGATCTGGATGTAGGACAAAAGAACCAGACATAAGGGTGTCATCAGAAGAACAATGCTGGACACCATGATGGTGACCTCGTTGGAGGAGGTGTCCACACAAGCCAGCCTGATCACAGCTAGAATTTCACAGAATATATGATCAATAAACTTGTTAGTGCACATGGGCAGCTGAAAGGTGATGGTGGTATGCATGAGAGAGTTAATGGAGCCACTGACCCAGGATGTGATGGCCAACTTAGCACACAGCGCTCCATGCATGATGGCCGAGTATCGCAGGGGGTCACACACAGCCACATAGCGGTCATAGGCCATCACTGCCAGGAGAACAAACTCAATCCCACCCAAGGCCAGGGAGAAAAATAATTGGGCTGCACAGCTCTGCAACGAGATGGCTTTATGTTCTGCAAGAAAATGTGCCAGCAGCTGAGGGACGATGCTTGTGGCATAGGAGACATCGACAAGGGAGAGGTTGGTGAGAAAGAAATACATGGGAGTGTGGAGTCGGCTGTCCAGTCTGATCAGAAGAACAATGAGACAGTTCCCCAGCATGGTCACCATGTACATGACCAAGAATAGGACAAAGAGGGAGACCTGAGCATCCCAGTCACTGGAAAGGCCGAGGAGAATAAATTCACTCGCCCAAGTCTGGTTATCTGTTCCCATTAAAATATTCAAGGTTTATTAATCTGTGGAGAGAGTCAGAAAAAAACAGAAGCTGTTGAGTAACCATAATAATAACTTTTTTTCTTTTTTTATTATACTTTATATTCTGGGATACATGTGCAGAATTCAAGTTTGTTGCATAGGTATACACGTGCCATAGTGGTTTGCTGCACCCAACAACCCGTCATCTACATTAGCTATTTCTCCTAATGCTATCCCTCTCCTAGCCCCTCACCCCTCGACAGGCCCTGGTATGTGATGTTCCCTTCCCTGTGTCCATGTGCTCTCATTGTTCAACTCCCACGTATTAGTGAGAACTTGTGGTGTTTGGTTTTCTGTTCCTGTGTTAGTTTGCTGAGAATGATGGTTTCCAGCTTTATCCATTGTCCCTGCAAAGAACATGAACTCATTTTTTTTTTAAATAGCTGAATAATATTCCATGGTGTATATATGCCACATTTTCTTTATCCAGTAAATCATTGATGGGCATTTGGGTTGGTTCCAAGTCTTTGCTATTGTGAATAGTGCTGCAATAAACATATGTGTGCATGTGTCTTTATAGTAGAATGATTTCTAATCCTTTGGGTATATACCCAGTAATGGGATTGCTGGGTCAAATGGTACTTCCAGTTCTAGATCCTTGAGGAATTAACTCAAGATGGATTAAAGACTTAAATGTAAGACCTAAAACCGTAAACACTCTAGAAGAAAACCTAGGCAATACCATTCAGGACATAGGCATGGGCAAAGACTTCATGACTAAAACACCAAAAGCAATGGCAACAAAAGCCAAAATTGACAAATGGGATCTAATTAAACTAAAGAACTTCTGCACAGCAAAAGAAACTAGCATCAGCGTGAACACGCAACCTACAGAATGGGAGAAAATTTTTGCAATCTATCCATCTGACAAAGGGCTAATATCCAGAATCCACAAAGAACTTAAACACATTTACGAGAGAAAAAAACAAGCCCATCATGAATAACTTTTTAAGAATACATATGTATATGACCCACCAGTGCTAGCCTCAGTCTTTAGATTATTCATGAAGCTAAGCTAACAACCTGGGTTCCAACGGCATTATATCTACTCGGCTTCAGAGAGACAGGCCAGTCCCTAAATAAGGACATGATTTGTCTCAGGGACGTCAGTGAAAGCCTGGAGATAATGTAGTACAGTTTTAGGATTTCTACATTTTTACCATCTTACCTTGATTCCAGTGCAAGAAAAACATGGTAATGGACAATTGTCTGAAAAATGATAAACAGCAAAGACAGACAATTGGAAAGTATCTCAAATACATGGACTAGACTCAGCTTGATGAAATATATGTATCATTTACCAAAGAAAACATTGGGAAGAGGCAAGGGTCTTGTGGAAAGAGCCTGGAGTCAGAGAACCTAGGTTTTATCTAGCAGGTAGGTGGTTTTTGTTTAGTGACAAGTTTCATAGCTAAGACAGATTACTATTAAATGACTCATGGTTACATTTAAGGTCAAACTTAGATAGGTTATAGGAAAGTACTTGGTGTACACTAATTGGTAGTACTACTATAGTACTATGGGTGTTCGCAGTAAGATGACTTCTGCCTTGGGGTAAAGTAGAAAATGTGTTTACTGTCACATACCCTCCACAAAATCAAATATAAATTGATAGCAACCTCTGATAGATCTGAAGGCTTGGATGCTTTGAGGATTCACTGGCCTTTTTGATAGGCTTTGGTTTCTTCAATCATTAGTGGGATAAAGGAGGACATTGTGATGGCATCTTGTTCTTTGTTTTTTCTCTTTTCAACTTGCTACTGTTAAGAATCTATCCTTTAAATACGGGTTTAAAAGAAAGCAAACAAAAAGATGAATGCTTAGACATTTTAGACACAAGGGATGTAGCCAAAGCAGGTGTTTAAAGACCCTTCTTCCCTGTCTTCAGGGAAGATGTGTTTTGGAATGGAGATTCCTTGATGTTTTCTTTTGCAAATGCTTTTTCAGTAAAACTAATGTGCTACGTCATCAATTGTGAACCTTAAACAGAAACAGGTTACATTTGAAAAAGTTTTAGAACTGACTCCTTCTTATTTCATGTCCACCTATTCACTGACTTTTCTTTTATTGCAGTGTACACAGTAAGGGAAACTAGGAGAGAAAGGAGGCAGGGGGCATTGAGGGCAGAAGCAGGGCAAACTAGAATGTCTTAGCTACACGAGAAAGACTGTCAATGCTGCAAGTCGATAAAGTATTAAACAAAATATGTAGTTCCAGAAATGCTCGTCTCCTTCATGGTTCAGAGTCACATTTATTTTTTCTAAACTCTCCCATAATGTTCTCCTCAAAAGTTTCTTCCGCCTCCAACACTTCCGCCTTTACTGCTCTGTCCTGATGCTCCCACCAGTACCCCTCAGGGTGCTTTTCTTCAATCCTGACCGGCCTGAGAATACATCTGATTGCCTCAGAGAAGACATTCTAATTAAATTCTACAACCTCAAGTATATATTTTACTTAAAAACAACTGCCAACCCTTGTTGAATAAATAGAAGATGTGCACCAGAAGTAGACATTTTTTCCACTAATTAGGCAAATATCTTGCAGTTTTCATATCTTGCAGATGCTTATCTTGCAGATGCTGATTTCAGGATGAATATCACCCTTCCCTGTTCTCGAAGCGTTTGCTCATCAGTGGGGAAAAAGACACAGACACAGTGATTGTCACCAGATCATTTTCTCCTCTGCCGAACGGGAGACCCTGTGAGCCCATGGCTCACTGTGCTCCTCTCAGCCACCCTACACGTCTCTCCACTATAGTCCTTGTCACATTACAAATGAGTGACAGTGTCTCATCTCAGAGAAAATGTGAACTTCAGAGTCTAACAGCTTCTGTTGTGGACCCACATCTGTTCTGCTTCCTGAGACTTGGAGTAAGATACTTAGCATCTCTGAGCCTCATATTCTTCATGTGTTAAATGTGCCTAATATTGGCCAGCTGAAAGATCCTGGGTGAAATTAAAGGAGTTGGAGGACTAAAGTTCCTACAGGAGTGCTGGAACAGGCAGGTGTCCGTTATTTACTGATGATCCTTAGTCTTGATTTCATGCTCTCTCTTTCAGAATCTTCTTTAACCATTTACTCCTCCTCTCTACCATCCTCACGTTCCTCTTGCTCCTAAGCAACTCCTTCTCCTTCATTATAAAAGAAAATATACAGAAAATATTTAGAAGCTTTAGTGTATAGATAGCATTCTAAATCCCCCTTCATTTCACATCCCTAATGACTAGAATCCATTTTCTGGATTTATTTCCTGATATTCATCCCTTAGCCAGTGGAAATTTCTACCCTCACTAATCTATAGAATTTGAATTTTTTTTTTTTTTTTTTTTTTTTTTTTGTGACGGAGTTTCACTCTGTCACCCAGGCTGGAGTGCAGTGGAGCAATCTCGGCTCACCGCAACCTCTGCCTCCCAGGTTCAAGCGATTCTCCTGTCTCAGCCTCCCGAGTAGCTGGGATTACAGGAGCCCACCACTACGCCTGGCTAATTTTTGGTATTTTTCGTAGAGATGGGGTTTTGCCGTGTTGGCCAGGCTGGTCTCCCCTGACCTCAGGTGATCTGCCTACCTCAGCATCCCAAAGTGCTGGGATTACAGGTGTGAGCCACTGTGCCCGGCCGAATTTGAAAACTTAAAGGTTACTGATAACCTGTCATCAGCAATTCCGGAGAATTTTATTCTATTTGCATTCTTCACTCAGCTTTTAACAATGTTACCTATTTGTTCCTTCAGAGTCACAACTCTGTGGTGCACTTCTGTCCTGATCTTCCTCCAGTCGATTTGCCTCGTGAGCATTCTTAACCTTCTTAGTCCTCCTGCTCCATTCTATGAGCATTTGCTAAGGTTCTGTGCTCAGAAGTTGGACTCTACTTCTAAAGTTTTTCTTGGAAGGCTTGTTATTTCTAGCTACAATAATTAATATCAGCTCTATATGGCTCACTCTCAGTTTCACATTTACCTTCTAGATTTCCCTCCAAAACTCCAAATGCATTCTGCGAAAGCTGAAAGAATGTTTCCTAAATGTCTCACAAATGCCTGTACTCCCCTATCCACAAATGAAATTCCACCCTGTCCTCTTTATTTCTATCAACAGAATTAGATTTGTCCCACTCTTCCAATGAACCATCTTCTATTTTTCCCTCCTCCTCCCCATGAGTAAATCCTCTTCCTTTATATCTTCTATTGTTTATCATTCATCTTCCTCTTAATCTTCATCTACATTTCCCTTTGCCCTCATCATTCCCATTTTATAGAGTATAAGACCTTTCTTGCAAATTTCAATGATGTAATCTCCACTCACTCCAAGCATTCTACCTTCTACTTCCAAATTAATCATGCAAAGTATGAATTTATTACTTTACTTTTATGTACAAACATTTCTATGATGTCTGTGTTGAAAAAATTAATTTATCCTTGGCTGAAATGTTTCCATGCCATTCATAATCCAGTCCTGTCCGACATCTAGCTTTCATTTTATTAATTGTGACATCTAGTGAAGTGTTTTATTAAAATAGGCTGCTAATACTTGAATAATTTTTATTGATGTATTAACTGAATACTCTTAACATATAAGGTGACTATTTCCAAGGCTATTGCCTTGGTTTTAAAAATTAATATTTAAGTATACCTTTTGTCTATACTCATGGAGTTCCTCTAGGAATTCATGATAGATAAAGAAAAAAGAAATACAATGTGTGTTTGAAAACCAAATTAAGGAGGAAAATGTGTTGTTCAGATCATTTTACCACATGTGTAGCTAATACCATTTTCATATTGCTTTGATCTCAGCTTCCAGCTAAATGGAACTGGATCTATATTCTCCCTTCAAGGTGAAGAGTAAACTAGGTGCCAGATAAGTGCTCTGTGTCTAACCACACATGTCACAAAGCAGATATTGGCCTTTTCAGTCCTAAATAATTTGTAGTTCTATAACTCTCCCTAAACCTGTGGTTTTCATTGAAGGCAAATAACCTAGGGACAATTTTGAGAATATTTGCTCCATTTGTCT